CACTGAAAACATGCTGATTCCTGTTGTTATCTTGATCTTTGTGTTACAAATCTGAATAAAATTATGGCTTAGCCACAGTTACCAGGCTTCCCTCTGTTTCCACTGAAAGGCTCTTGCCTACTCACCATTTGCATCTTCAAAAGGATTTCAGAGACTGGCATATTCTCATTGAAACATCACTTCCATATAAAAAACATGGCAGTTATGTGAACTAAGCAGGCCTCCAGCCTTACGTCATCACAGTCTTCCTCATGTAATACAGAGTGGTATTGTTGCCCTCTTGATGGAATCCAAACATCCTAAGAAAGTAAAAGTGCATAAGATGGTTGTGAATTGAACTTACTTGAGGAATTATGATGTGTATGGCAGAGCTGTACAAGCCTCAGCGAACAATTTCTCTCTAGTTATTATGCATTTCCTGAAAAGAGCTACAATTTTGTGGCCAGTAAGGTCACACATCTAATGGAGAGGTCTGTTAAGCTCCTACAAGATTTTCCATCTTTATCAAACAGCAGCAGCAATCTCATCTCCCAGGTCAAGGCAGTGTTTGGTGTTACTGAATGAGGTGCTCCAAGAACCTGTAAATGTCTTTTCAATTCTATACCAGTACCAGGTAAACTGAATCCTACTGCAGGCCACTGTGAACACTGTCTGCATGGAGAGGCCTGTGAATTTTCATCTTAGGACCTTTCCAAAGATGCCCCCTTTGGAGAATTTTTCTGCCTATTGCTTGCTTTTTAAGTACTTTGAAAGCGAAGAGAGTTTTTCTTCAGGATACACCTAAATTAAATGTCAAAGCTCTGCTGCATGTGGTTTGAATTGAACAGCACATTCACACTTTTTAATAGTTAGTATTTTTCTGCTCTGGAAGCTATTGTTCCAGGGAGTTCTTCCTAAGTGGTAGTTCAGGCTTAGAGCAAAAGATATGCTTGGCCTCTAGTTGGTACAGAGATGGGGGAAATGTCCTACTGTGAATTGACTGGCATGGGGAATTCCAGAACAAAAACTGCATGTAAGAATTTCCTTTACAGGCCGAGCTCCTCATGGTACACCGTAGTCTCTCCTCAGAGGAGAACATGGGAGTCCCTGGCTGTGGTACACTATGAGATATGTAGGCTGCGGTGGAGGCCAGCCCATGTAAGAGAACGAGGAAATCAAAATACAAGTCTTGTGTCACCATAGCAGGAAATCCAAATTACTGATTTTTGGCTCAAAATATTTCAGTTTTTGGATGTTTGATGAAAGATTAAAATTTATATGGAAAACAGGCATCATATAAAAAAAGTCACATTGAAAAAGAATCCTATTGGTTTAAAAATAGTTGGCAAAATGTTCAGCCAGTCTTATCTAGAACAAAATTAATTTAAACAACGAATAGTCCTGCAGCACCTTAGAGATGAAAAAATGTAGATGGTATCAGCAGCTTTCATGGGCACAACCCACTTCTTCAGATTAAACTCATGATACCATCTACATTTTTTGTTAAGTCTCTAATGTGCTGCAGGACTATTTGTTGTTTTAAAAACTTTTTTAGTTACAGGCTAACATGGCTACCCCTCTGAAACTTATAAAGTTAATTAAATGTGCTAAAAAGTGGAAATCAAGTGGTGACTAACTCAGCCATATAAATGTCTAATTCAGTTGAGATATTTCAGGAGAAGTCAATTTGAAGAAGATAGTTTTCTGTATCTGGTGAATACCCAAAAGATATCTGACCATATTTTAATACTATTTTAAAGGCAGTGCTCAGAGAAATTCTGGCCCTAGAAGAGACTTAATTTATAAAACCAAAAATAGGTAACTAACTTTGTGATAACTCATTGTCAGCTTTGTGGCTTAATTTTATAATTAACATCAGGATAATCCCCAAAACCAAACTTTGGTTTCCATGGCTTTTAATCCTGCAATGTTTAATTCACAGAATTTATTAGAACCCAACAGGTATCTGATCATGGTACAAGATGTAATCCAGTTTAGCTGCTGTTCTGAGGAAATCTGTGTTTCATTCAGGTAAGCAAATATATTAAACTATATCCAAGGGGAAATGAAATTAGACCTCACAGGAATTGGTTGCTAATTTGGAGTTGGAAAGAAGTTGTCCCAGGACCTTACTAATGTCTCCAAGGAACTTTTGGAGTAGAAAAAGTGCATGAGTTACATATTCCTTTGGAGCACTGATGAGAGATCAGTCATTAGCATGAAGTGGTCATCTTTCATCATCTTCCAACAGGGAGTGGTAGAAAATTGCATTCTGCTTGTTTTCCTTTTGTGAACTGTACGGCAGCACTGAACTAACACTCAGGTTGGGTAATAATTAGGTTCATACACAAATTGGGTTGCCCGTGTGGCTGAACAAGGCCACAGTAACTAAAGAACAAACTCTTTCCAAATTTCTTTTCGAACAGACTCTTTTCTCTCAACTGTGAAGACAGAAATTAACTGACCAGAGCGATGATACTACTACTTAGGCTGATGCTGGCAACAGCCACCCTTGTCAGCTTTGTATGATCTGTAAAAATTAGAAAAAAAATCATGTGACTCAGGCCTGCTAATGGTGCACACTAAGGCTGTTAAGGACTAGTTGACTATCCAATATGGAAATGCTTATATACCCCCCCCCCCCCCCCCGCCTTGCTGCCTCTATCAGATCGAGGCAGCAAAGGGGGTATTTCAAAGCAGCAGTGCTGCACAGCTGATCCAGGCTAAGCTGTGTGGCACTGCCTCAAACACCACCTTGGCATTTCAAAGCAGTGCCGCATGGAGCTGACCCTGGGCTCCATGTGGCACTGCTCCTTTGAAACGCTGCCACAGTATTTGCATGGAGCCTAGGTCAGCTGGGGACTCCTCAGCTGATCCCAGGTTCCATGGAAATGCTGCATGGAGCCTGGGATCAGCTGAGGAGTCCCGCACTGACCCCAGCCTACATGTGGGCGCTTCCCCTTTGAAATGCACAAGAGCCCCTGCTGGGGACTCCTGTATATTTCAAAGCTGTCATGCCATGTGCAGCCTGGAGTCAGCAAGACTTTCCGGTGGCCCCAGGGTGCACACGGAGTTCCGCATTCCTCATTTGAAATGTACAAGAGCCCCAGCTGGGGCTCTTGTACATTTCAAAGGAGGAGTGCATAAGTGCCTATCAACTATTTGAGTAGTCAATGGAAATTCCACTGACTATTCAAGTACTAAATTACTTGATATTTAACATCTTTAGTGAAAACCTGAGAAAAGTCTACAAAAACAGTTCACTTATTGGGTCATTTTCTGCATCTTTTGCTGCTGTTTGCTGTTTTAGTGTTTGGTTTTAGTAAGAGCTTGCCCCTTTTTCTGCTTTATTCTACAGCAACATGCAATATTATGCAACTATGACTAGAGCAGTATACTGTAAGAATAGCAGAATACTCCTGTTCAAAGGTCTTCTAAATTAGTGTTTAAGTGCAGAGTGTGAATAGCAAACATGTAAAGGAAGATATCAGTGAGAGGAAAATGCAATTTAAACAGCTTAGTTCCAACCAAAGTAATTCCATAAAAACATGTACCTAAATTGAAAGAGGTATATTAGAAGTATAATTTTGTATTTCTTGTTACATAAATATGAGAGCTCTTTTAAATCTACTTATGTAAACTTGCAACATGTTGGCAATGTCAAGAACAGAAGACAGAAGGACGCAGTCTTGATAAGAAGAGAAAGCTAGTTGTAGTGAAGCTACAATTCTATTGAAAACAGGGCAAAGGACAACTCAGATCCCATCCCTTCATTGTTAACAGTACAGAGTAGCCAAAAAGCTTTCATTTAAAGAACAGCCTCTTCCCAAAGGCTGGAAGTCCTAATTTGACTCAGTAGGTGCAGTCTCAGTTCAGCTGAAAGTCATTAGGAAGTTAAATTAAAAACCAAATTGAATGAAGCAAGCAATACTGTACAAAATTTGAAGCCTATGCGGATAACAATTAGGTATCCCCCAACTCTTAGCTGCAGAGATTCTTATAACCAGCTATTAGAATGAGGCTTGAATATTGGTTTACCAGAACTCACAACTGGATCTGTAGCCTTATATGTATTTTACTTGCAACGTAAATTAATATATAGAACTTAAAGATTCCATCTTCCAGACTTTCTTTTTGAAGGTCAGATAATCTTCCCTAGATTACTAAACCTTTAAAAATTATTTTTACTTAAAAGAGACAGGAAAAAATATTAATATACTGTAGCAGTACTGGATAACTCTGATGTAGCTACATTAGTTCTCAGAAGCCTCTAGATTTCCAGATATTTCTCAATGTAAAGCATATAAGTAATGTTTTTCCTTTTGATAGGCTCTATGAACATATCCACGATCTTCGCCTTTTCCTTTTCAATGATGCACTTGTTATTTCACACCGTCGCATCTCCTATATACCATTTGAACGGACCCCCAAAACAACTTACCAGTTCCTAGCAACAGTAGCTCTTCACAGGCTGGTTGTAGAAGACATTCCACATACAAAATGTACGTTTTGTAACATTCCTACAATGGTCACTTATAGGTCGGTTTAAACTGTTCCATTCTGCGGGCTATAGTCTGCTGCTAGTTTGTTTTATTGCAAGTGAGTTTGTCCTAAATAAGAAGCAATATGAACATGATGATCCGTGTTGAGTAGTTCTGGTCATTACAGAGTTCTGGCTTATGGTCCATCTACACTGAAGATTTTTTTTTAAAGTTCTGTTTGACTGCCAAATAACTGGACATAACTAACATGTTTGTACATTTACAAGTCTCAGAGGGGTAGCCATATTAATCTAAAAAACCTTTAAAAACAACAACAATTGTTTATATTTGTACATGTTGATCTGGAGAAGCCACAATCATGAAGTATGTAGCAAATCAATTGTGTAAATCCCAGAACAAATAATTGTGAAGCATCTACACTCCCATGTACAAACATACTAATTTCAGTTAATTGGCAATTAAGTTAAAAACTACTGCAGAGTCTCTCTTGCATGGGTGGCTCTCTCTCTATGCATATCCCATATAATTAAAACTGTGTGCATGTGTTTTAAAATATTAAAACCCTCTGCCTCAAATACCATGTCATTTTAGCCAGGAGAAGGCTATCATCATCATCCACCCATGGAAGGGTAAGAAAACATGAGCCAAAGTAAAAGTCAACATACAAAGGGAGACAGCAATCAGCCACATTCCTAATGCAAGGCTGTAAATCAGCTCAACTCCCACACCCACTTATTAGCTACCCAATCATTATTACAGTACCAGTATTTTCCTGAAGTCAGAAGGAACTGGTGACTTTTCATGGGATCCAGAATATAAGAGAGACACAGAAAAGATAGAACATTTTTAAAATGGACAAGCAGGGCAGAGTTTTTCCTCTAGTTGTTAATGAAAGCTAAGGCATGCATCAAGAGGACTCCATGAATAGGCACTGATTATTGCAGTTGCTTGTTTATGCAGAGTTCAGAATATTTCCTCCACTTGTTTGGTAGACTATCCTTAGTTCACTGTGTTTCAAGTACAGGCAGTCCCCGGGTTATGTACAAGATAGGGACTGTAGGTTTGTTCTTAAGTTGAATCTGTATGTAAGTTGGAACTGGCGTCAGCCGCGGCTGAAACGGATCAGTTTCAACAGCGGCTGAATCTGGACGCCAGTTCCGACTTACATACAGATTCAACACTTGTTTGGTAGACTATCCTTAGTTCACTGTGTTTCAAGTACAGGCAGTCCCCGGGTTATGTACAAGATAGGGACTGTAGGTTTGTTCTTAAGTTGAATCTGTATGTAAGTTGGAACTGGCGTCAGCCGCGGCTGAAACGGATCAGTTTCAACAGCGGCTGAATCTGGACGCCAGTTCCGACTTACATACAGATTCAACTTAAGAAACCCAGGCGTTCCCAAATCAGCTGCTGCTGAAACTGATCAGCGGCTGATTCCAGGAAGCCTGGGGCAGAGCAGCTCTGCCTGGGGCTTCCTGTAGTCAGCCGTTGGTCAGTTTCAGCAGTGGCTGACTTGGGGACGCCTGGGGCAGAGCAGCTGGGGTGCTGCTGGGTTGCTCCAGTAGCACAGCTCCTCGGCGCTACTGGAGCAACCCAGCAGCACCCCAGCTGCTCTGCCCCCGGCGTCTGGAGAAAAGCCCAGTCTGCGG